CAGAGCTGTGAGGCATATTTTCACGTCAAGTTTGGATTTTTTAAATCACAACCTTGGCGTAAAAAGTGGCGTACGCAAGTTTCTGGGCTCAAATTGTGCGTACGCCAATTTTATAAATCCGACACCAGTTCTTTTGTGTTTACCTGTGTTTTTTTCCTGTCCTCCAACCAGCTATTCAAGGCAGATGGCTGCCTGCCCTGAGCCTGGTTCTGCTGGAGGTTTCTTCGTGATTAGCAGGGAGTTTTTCCTCTCCACCGTTTGCTTAGGATGGGAGACTGTGATGAAGTGATTCAACACAATCTGCTGCTTTCTTCTTTACATTGTTCTTTTTATGTACAGTGTCCTGAGATAATGTATATTGTGACTTGGCACAATATAAATAAACTTGAACTTGAACTATTAGGAAATATTCTTAAAAATTTTTTTGGAATCACGCTGTCTTCACAAAAAGCCACATAGCTACTAATAATATCAGTCAGCTCATCAATATCTCTACATTATTCCTTAAACATGTCCCAGTCAGTTATATCAAAGCAACCCTGTAAGTTCAGTTTAGAATCATCAGCCCAGTTGTAGATCTATCTAGTGATGATTTTACCTCTCCTGAGAGCAGAACGATAAGGTGGTATGAGTTGCACACTGTAGGGGTCACCTCGAGTGAAATAATCAAGGAAACTGTCTTCGACCTCAGACCTTTGATGGGCCTTTAAAGGGACAAAAACTCTGTTCCACTCTCAACGGAATTTTGGCCACCTCAGATTGCCTTAACTTGTCAAAGAGACATTCTCTTTTTCTTAACCAGATAATAAACAGAAGAATCTTCTTTTTATTTGATTTAGTGTTCTCTTAACTGATAGTTATTGCACATTTTGATAATCAGAGAATGTTTATCAAAGTTACAGGAAAAAAGAGGACAGATGCCTTTTCACCCTCAGTATGATTACAGCTATGTATGGATTTTCTGTGCAAAAATCTTAGTTAACTAAACTAATCTTTATGGTTTAAAGTTGATGAAACCAGTGTTTTATTTGTCTGAATCATATTCGCAAATGTTTTGAAGTTGAAGCAATTCAATCTTTCAGTTATGTTTTTAAAGAAGATCCCATCAAATAATTATTAAACAGGTCAATAAATGTTTGTTTCTGAACTACACAGAAGCAATAATCTTTGTTTTGGCTTCAGGAGGCAACGGCAAGTCTCTCAACTAACACTTTCCTTGATTTCTCCCTTTTTTCTAATCCAACCTCTGGAAGGCGGAACTAGGAAACTAAGCTTCTTAGTAAGTAACTGTTTTCGCCTGGGAGGCAGAAAGTGACAGACCGCCCATCTGTGAAGACGGACAGTCACTCTCAGCTGGGTTCTCTCCAGAGAACTAGAGCTAAGCTGTGTCGGTTATCCCTTTATCGTCAACGGGGAAGCTGTACGGCCTGATACGACCACCGCCTGGTCTATCCAACTTGTAGTTATCACTATGTGTTGAATACACTGTGTATGTTAATGCAGATGAAAAGTAAGCCAAACTCGGTTTTCATGAGCCAGGGAACTGAGCATCTTACTCCTTTATTACAGTCTTCTCGACAGCTTACAATTCTTCATAATTGTGGCTTGAAAGCTCAATGAAAGGGTCGAGTAAAACTACAAAATAAACAGAAAATAAATGAACATTAGCTCCTTATAATGTTACATAAATGAACCAGAAAACTACATAAAAGTAAACCTTTGTTGACATTAATGAAAACAGTCAGCTATCTTTTCATATGCTAAGCAACCTCCATACACCTGAAAAAGGTCCACTTTTTCTAAAAAAAGAACCCCCCCCACACACACACACACACACACACACACACAATCCTGGCTACGCCTATGAGGAATGAACCCATAGCACAGGCAAAAGTCTAAATAAGCAAAAAAGGTGATTTGTTTAACAAAGAAGGCTGTCAGGGCAGCTCAAAAACTAACTTGGCGAGGCGAGGCAAGGCAAGGCAAGAAACATACAGGCTGTGAACAGCACAATGATCAGACAGAGAAGTGAAGACAAGACACAGAATATAAAAGGTGAGACCAACAAGCACAAACAGGAAACACCTGGGAGAGAAACATGAGGAGCAGGTGAGAGTGGGCGGGGCTGGAGCAAAGGCAAACAGGAGGAAGAAAACAGATGACAAGACAGAAAACTAAAATAAAACAAACACAGACACAAATCATAACAATACTTAGCTCGATCATTAAAAAAATTGTGGCATCTTAATTGTTCACTTGTACAGTATTTTTTGATAAAATATGTTTGTTTAAAAATGTATTGTTCTTTATGCAAATTGGCATAACATGGTAAACCTTTAAAAATTATCTCCTCCAAAGGCGCATCTCCAGTAAGCATGAAACTTCCCAAGTAAAACCTAATGTAGTGGCTCTACAAACATTGTTCAGGAAAAGTTGTTTGGTTTTTGGAAAACAAGTTATGTTCATTTTTATACAAAGCTAGCTTTTTAGCATTAACAAAAATGGCAGTCATTTATATATGTTATTATATATTAACACCAAACTCATATACCAATTAATATTTCTGAAGAAGTATTCAAAGTTTAATATCATCCAAACTCTAGGGGGCGCTAGAAATGCATCATGTTTATATCTTATAAACAGTAATACCAATTGACATGAAATTTATTACACTTACTAAGGAACACAAACTGAGTGACTTTGTACAATATGGTAATGATTGGTAAAAGTGGGTGGGGCTTGTATATAACACGCTTAAAAATATTAAAAATCAAACATTTGACCTACAGCGTTCATATTCACAAAATAAAATCTGTGATGTATAACAAAC